TAGGTCTAGATTGACATAAAAGCATTAAAATAATAATTTCTATATCAGACGTGGTATCCAGCCACGACAGGACACATAGAGACAAACGAGACAAACAACCATTCACTCTCTCACTCACACCTAGGGACAATTTAGAGTTACCAATCAGTCTAACATGCATGTTTTTGGTCTGTGGGAGGAAACCGGAGCACCCGGAGAAAACCCACACATGCACGGAGAGAACATGCAAACTCCACCCAGAAGGGCCCCCGGACCAGGATTTGAACCGGGAACCTGCTCGTTGAGAGGCAGCAGCTCTACCAGTTGTGCCACCGTGCTGCCCCGCAACATTATTATTATTATTACATTACTATTATTATTATTATAACTCATTGGAATATTTCATCTGAGACTCTTACCATTTTTTCTTTTTTTTGCTCCATAAGCTACACCATAAGCCATCAGAAATATTTAGTTATAAATTAATTAATTTTGAAAACAAGAGTCCTAAATCTAACTGAAACCTCAGAAAAAGAGGCTTTCAGATTTTTAAGGCCTTTGAAAATGTGAGTTTTTGTTGCATCTTGGGTAATGTTTTAATTAGTAAACAGATTGTTTAACAATAAATACTTTGTAATAAATTTACTGTGAGTGAATTTAGCTTTTCTTATAACCTGCATTGTTAATTGAAAATCTTTTATTTTGAAGGCATAGAATGAAACAGGAAGTGATAAATTAAGCTGCTGCTTCCTTCTTCCTGAAAGTGCAGCAATGATTTTCACTGGCCACCTACAGGCCTCTCTGGCTGCTGTTGACTTACATTATGTAGAATATATATATCTGTTTAAAAACAATAATCATATGGAAATATAGAAACATGAAGCTCTATATTTGTTTTAATTAAAATGTAAATGCATTTGGATCTTTTATAAATATAAAAATGTTCAATTGTGTGCAACATTTAAACAAAAGATCCACTTTTTTTTTTGTATTGAATGAACGCTTTTTGAATCCACTTGATAGTTTGAGACTTGATAGTTTAAATATTAAAAATAAAGTTTTTTTTTTTTTCCTTAAAGTACTTTTCAAAACATTCAACAAGAATGTTAATTTCAAACGCCACGATCCCGAGACTGACGTT